TATTTGTAGGCATTTTTAGATTTCTCATTCCACTGAAAAGAAAATTCAGACTGAAAATAAATGGTAAACTCAAAATTATTCATCAGATGTGTGGTACAAGAGACATTAAGGATGATGGAATTTTAATGTGGGTTTTTTCCTCTACAAATTAATAGTGCTGGAATTACTCATCGCTCAGTACCTCTGTAATAATTGATTGGGCTGAAGATGAAAGAAGAGCAAAGTTGTTCACTCAAGAGATGTTTTAAGCGATAGCTTGTTTCCCAGTTGGTTGGGGGGGGGCTCCCCTGCGGTGCTCGGGGTACCACCAAGGCCATCCTCATGTGCTTTGGGGGCTTCCAGAGTGGCACCCAGCAGTGCACAGTGAGCCATGCAGTGTCAGGGATGCAGTTCAGGACCTCACGTGGGCAAGGCTGATGCCCCTGGCACCGCTGTCTCCCTGGCTCCCTCCCAAGGTGTTTTGTTGTATAAATTTAATATTAGTGGTGGTTTTTATTTTCTCTCAAATTTCCCGAATACAACTTACACCATATAACTTACACTAGTCAATGGAAACAATTCAGATACCACTTTTTAAAAAGTAGAAATTAGGAGCTGGAGAGATGGTAAAGGTTAGGGCACTTGCTCTGCACGCGGCCAACCTCAGTTCTGTCCCTGGTACCACATAGGGTTCTGTGGCCACTCCAAGAGTTAGCGCTAAGCAGAGAGCCCAGAGTCAGGCCCTGAGCAGTAACCTCCACTCCAATTAGAAACGGAAGAACCTGCTGACGCGGGGCGAGTCTGGTTCTGAGCACCGTAGCCTGGTGGAGGTAACCAGGCTTGTGGCCAGCACCCAGGCCATGCTTCTGGGGTGCCTGGATTTTAATGTGGGCTTTACTGCTTTCACTGCAGTAAGACTGACTGCAACTGGGTGGCACTGTTGGTTTCCCAAATACTTGGGGAAAGGATTGTGCTGTCGATGTATGTCCATTGAGAGTCTTTTCAACAAGAATTCAAGTATGAAAGGATGTGTAGTGAAATACTGAAATGCCTTTGCTGAAATAACAGTGAATTCAAATTTGTTAGGTCATCTAACTCAGGGTTTCTTGGATGTTTTCCACTTATACCCTGAAACATGTTCACGGTATATAAAATAATTGGCATACAAATCAAACTGATGATGGTTATATATATATATATACACACACACAGATATATTTTAAACAAAATATTTGGATTTTATCTTGTGTTTTTGAGCCACCCCTGGGTCATCCTCTGGGGGAGTCAGGGGTTGCTGGGCACATTCAAGGCAAGGCCGGAAGCCCAGTGTTCTCTCCAGCCCTGGAAGCTGCCTTGGGGTAGGGCTGGATGTCACGCCCAGCAATGCTCGGGAGTTACTCCTGGCTTCGCGCTCATAAACTGCTCCTAGCAGTGCTCGGGGCCCTGTTGGAGACCGAACCTGGGTCGGTTTTTAAAAAGGTTTAAAATTTTTCTTTTAAAAAGTTACATGACTTCATGGTATAACCCTCACAGTTCATGAAGCTGGGATCTAATTTACTGTCTTTATCAACAATGAAAGAAATTGAATTTTATGAATTTTCTCAGTGTTTAAATCTGATAGTACCTTTCTAGCTTATGATGTACATAAAAAGAAATCAAAAGTCGTGAACATTATCTTTTTAAAGTACTATCTTTCTGGTCTGGGGGCCACATGGAGCATTGTCCCGGGGCCACTGCTGCCTCTGTACTCAGACCTTGCTCCTGCTGGGCCTTGGGGGTTCGTGCAGTGCTGGGGGTCTGACCCAGACCTCCCTCGTACAGAGCCCGCAACTCAGTCTAATAAGCTCTTTCTCTGACCCAATTTTTAAATTGAAGAGCAACATGCAAACAAAACAATAACCTTAAGCTTGTTTGTGAATAAAACAATTTAATGTTCTGAAAAGAGCAAAAATGTAAGTAGGTGCTACATAAGAAAACTCACAGTCTCCTACCTCTGTTGCTTCTTAGGCCAACATGCTTACTTTTGGAGGTGATAAAAAATTTGAGTCTCTACATTTTATCAGTTACTTTGGGGGAGCAAGCGTCCCGGAGACTCACCGGCCCTTCCTGGCCACCTGCTGGCCAGGCTCAAACACTAGATGTGAGACCTGAGGAGGAGCTGCTCAGCCCTGGGGGTCGGGGCCCACTGGGGGTGGGGGTCCAGGGGCTTCCTGGCCTGTGCCCAGTTATGTCTGGGGGACCTTGTGCTGGCAGGGATCAAACCAGGGCCTGCCTCCTGCCAGGCAAGCGCCAGAACAAACTCTCGGTTACATGCTTCAGAGTGATTAGAATTCTTTTTCTCTGGTAAGTCATTTCCCGGCCTTTGTCTCTAATCAGGAGGGGTTTCAGTATCTCTCTCACACTTGCCCCTGAGTGTTTGCTGCAGGGCCGGGTCAGAGTTGATTCCGTCATTGCACTGAGCGGTGATAAGGGCCATGGGAAAGATTTTGCTTATCTTAAAATAACCACCCAAAGTTTCTTCTTAATCAGCTGTAAAAATAGTTCAGTGATAAAAAAAACTTTGGGTAGAAAGGAAAATTGATCTTTTCTTTTTGAGCTTTATGTGTTTCGTTACACTTTTCCTATTTTATACACACACACATACACACACACACACACACACACACACACGAAAAGTAGCAGCGAAGTATGTTGTATTGCTTTTGGTAGGTGGACATTTGTTAACTACTACTTAAAACAGTCAGATTTTTCCTCATTTTGCCAGGATCAGTGTGCCGAGTCGCAGTGTATGAAATCAGCCGATGAGTTTCTGTGTGTCCTGTACACTGGTGGGGATGCACAGTCAGACAGGAATGAAGGGAATAGTTGTCCGCTGTTTATTCAAAGCCAAATGCTGAGGGATCAATGTGATGTGACAAGGGTCCTAAAAGGCCTGTTCGTCGATAGCTGTCACGAGCGGGAGGCATAAACGGGAAGGTGTTCATACCCATGTGCTAGTGCACTCCCATTGCCAAAAGGTCTCCACGGCCAGGGTTAACGAGACTCAGAGCAGTCCCCATGGCACTGCTGACAGAAGCATGGCCAATGAAACCTGCGGTCTCTGAACAAGCAGAAAATCCCAACTGTCAGAGTAGCTTTGAGAGTGAACACCAACCTGGGGCACAGACTACAGTACCGTCAGCGAGAAGGTGTGACTCCGGCATGAAAGCACATCAGTGGCCCAGCCTAAATAAAGCAGGCACTATCTGCAACATCTTGAGTGACATCGAGGGATGGTCAGAAAGAGATGCGTGTTGGCAAAACTGGCCTTAAGCCTTCTACCATGCACAAAATTGAGCTCAAGTTGGAACTGAAACCTTAGTACAGCTCGAAGAGGCCAGAGATACTAAGCTCCTTGAATGTTGCTCCCTCCCGCCATAAACTAATAGCAAAAGCAAGCAGATAAGCACAATGACATCAAGTCGAAAAGTTTATGCACAACAGTCAAAATTGTCCATGAAAACAACAGCCTACTGAATAGAAGAATATTGTTTATTATAATAATCTATCATAATGGGAGCAAACCACTTAGCTGTTAGCTTTTACTATCCAAAATATATAAAGAACTCTACAATTTAATAGCAAAAGAAAAAGTTAAGGTTAAAGAAGTAGGAGAAGATCTGAATAGATTTTTTTTTTATACTTTTCCCACCAAAGAAGACATCGCAGTAGCTGAATAGCTTCTCTAAAAGAGCAGCGAATAGGTTTGACAGGACTTGGGATAAAAGGCAGTTTTATCCTCTGTCGGTGTGGGTGTAAGTGGGTGTAGTCGCTATTAAAAACCCCGGTATGGTGAGGAGCCGGAGAGACAGGACAGTGGTCAGGTGCATGCTGGAGTCAGTTCCTGGCACATATGGTTCCTCAAACCCACGGAGGGTGATCTCTGAGTGCAGAGCCGGGAGTAAGGCTTGAACATCACCAGGTGTGACCAAACACCAACACCAACACACACACACAACTAGGGTGGTTCCTAAAAAATTTGGAAATTAGACCAGAGCAGTAATACAGTGGGGAGGGCGTTTGCCTTGCACTTGGCCAACCCAGATTCGATCCCCAGCATCCTGTATGGTCCCAAGCACCTCCAGGAGTAACCCCCTGAGCATCACTGGGTGTGGCCCCAAACAAAACCGTAAAACCGTTAGAAATTAAACTGCCATACCCAGTCAGCGTTTCTACTTCTAGGTGGTAATCCAAGGAAAATTAAAACAATTCAAGAAGTTACATATCCCTACATTCAGTTCAGCATACTTTACAGCAGTCAAGAAATAACTCAGTATCCGTGATGGGTGAGTGGTCAGAGAACTGGTGGTAATGCACAGTGACTGCACAGCCCTGGTGGTCAGAGCGCCGCATGCTCAAGGATCAAGAGGTCCAGGCAGTGACCCTGTAAAACAGATGTGAGACGTGTATATAGTATGTTGACTCTGTATGACCATGTATCTACAAATGTTTGCTCTTAAAAATGGAGTGAGCCTCACAGCAGTTTCCTATATGCAGTGGGTTAGGGACAGGTGGTGACTGTGTGATCTCTCCGATGCATGGGATAGCAATCCCAGCTATGGTATTAATATCATATGTGAACTATGAACCAGGAGAGGTGAACCGAATCATCAGCTCAGAAACCAGACTTTGGTTTCTAGATGAACCAAGGTAGCCACTGAAACCGGACTCCCAGCAGTGGGTGAAACTGGCAGGCTGCTGTCAGGGTTGGGCTAGAGCTGATTCACGTCCCCCCCGAGCCTTTGTGGCCACATGGGAAAATCTGAGAACACGGCTTTGTCTCTCTGTCAATGAAGAACACGTGGGTGCTCGTGCCTGGCAATAAATATGCTCTTTTTCCAGAAAGCGGGTGTGTTGATGGACATGCGTGTTTCACAAACATCGCTGGGAGGGGGAGCGGGGCGGCCTGGGAGGGGTCTGTGTCCGCTGACCATGATGCTGGGCTGGGGGTCGCTGAATCTCTGTCTCTCTCCCCCCTGCAGGACTCCCCCGGAGCGCTACCATGGAAAAGCCCTGGATGCTGTGGAGCGTCGTGGAAAGGTGGCTGCTCGCCATAGCCTCGTGGTCGTGGGGCGTCTGCCGCATCTCCCTCCTGCCTCTGATCGTGACTTTCCACCTGTACGGGGGCGTTCTCCTGCTTCTGTTGATCTTCATCTCAGTGGCGGGCATCCTGTACAAGTTCCAGGATGTGCTGCTCTATTTCCCAGAGCAGCCGTCCTCGTCCCGCCTCTACGTCCCCATGCCCACGGGTGTCCCCCACGAGAACGTTTTCATCCGAACCAAAGACGGCGTGCGCCTGAACCTGATCCTCATCAGGTACACTGGCGACAACTCGCCCTACTCCCCCACCATCATCTATTTCCACGGCAACGCTGGCAACATTGGGCACCGCCTGCCGAATGCCTTGCTGATGCTGGTGAACCTCAAGGTCAACCTCTTGTTGGTGGATTATCGGGGCTACGGCAAGAGCGAGGGGGAGGCCAGCGAGGAGGGACTCTACCTAGACTCCGAGGCTGTGCTGGACTACGTGATGACGAGGCCCGACCTCGACAAGACTAAGATCATCCTCTTCGGCCGCTCTCTGGGCGGCGCCGTGGCCATCCACCTGGCCTCCGAGAACGCCCACAGGATCTCGGCCATCGTGGTGGAGAACACGTTCCTCAGCATCCCGCACATGGCCAGCACTTTATTCTCCTTCTTCCCCATGCGTTACCTCCCTCTATGGTGCTACAAAAACAAGTTCCTGTCGTACAGGAAGGTGTCCCAGTGCAGGATGCCGTCCCTGTTCGTCTCGGGGCTCTCGGACCAGCTCATCCCACCCGTGATGATGAAGCAGCTCTACGAGCTCTCGCCGTCCCGGACTAAGCGACTGGCCATCTTCCCGGAGGGGACGCACAACGACACCTGGCAGTGCCAGGGCTACTTCACTGCCCTTGAGCAGTTCATCCGAGAAGTGGTCAAAAGCCACTCCCCCGAAGAAATGGCCAAGACGTCCTCCAGCGTGACCATCATCTGACGCGCTCCACATGCGCCTGGTGGGCAGAGCGTTCCCCCTTACAAGTGTACTTGTCTGAGCGCGACATTCAGACGAGGCAAGGACCTCACCGCTCCTCGACGATGATCCAAATAGTTTTTTACATTTCGAGAACTCGGTTTCTTGGGATTATTTTACACGTTTTCATCAAGCCTTCCGGGGTGTTGCGTATCCTTCTCTTTGTTTAGTATGCCAATATAAGAGCAGATTATATCCACATGTTTCTTTTGGCTGAAGTGGTTTGTCTCTTTGACACTTAGATGAATGGTTGGGCGTGGAAGGAAACTCATAAACAGAAACTTTTGGTTATTATTCTTTCGTAAACACGGGGACAATCATGATTAGCAAACTTAGTTGTGTAACTGCATTTTCACCTTAAAGTTAAAACGAAGTGCATGATGGTATTTTATTCCTTGAATTATGCAATGCAATGTTTTTAGTGTAAATAGCACTGGTTATTTACCAATGTTCATGGTAACCTGAGTTATATCTATTTTTATGTCAATTATTTTGTTTCAGCAAGAAGTAAAATTGAGGCCTGTATGCAAGTTGCCGTTTGAAATTTGCTCTGGTGAATGCTGAGATCCAGCTTTTTCTTACAAAGAAAGGGGACCCCATTTTCCAGTCTAAATGGACCACGCTTTGTTAGGTACAGTCTGGATCAGGGCATGTAAACATAAAAATGTAGAACTTTATTGCAGCTTTAATGTGCATATTTGAACTTTTTAACATTTGTAATTTTGGTGGCAAAGAGAATTTTAGCTTCTGTCAATTTTGTAAGTCTACAGCCAAACCATGAATAGAGATGATAATGGAGATTAGCACTTGTCTAAGAATTAGAAAGTATTCTCGGAACATGATTGTACATACTATTTTACACAAAGTCCCTCGCTCGATTTTTAAGTCCCAGTATCTAGGTAGATCTCAATCCGTGAAGCCAAGACACATTGATTGGGTTTTCTGAAAATAAAAGTTAGAGAAGCAAAAGGAACTATATTCTTTGGTTTAATGTTTTAGTTGCTGTGAACTAGATTCCTAAGTCAAAAGACAGTTTGAGAGATGGTACCTATTTTCCAGATATAGGGTGGTGAGGATGAAGAAGCTCTCGAACTTGTCTTGCAGAACCTAAGGCCACTTTGAATTGGCTGGAAGCAGGGAGTAGTATTTAGGCAGGTAAAAGAGGAGGCAAAAGCCCTTACTGATAAAAGGAAAAGCCTCTTTAAAACTGCAGGTTTTACCTTAAAAAAAATTATAATATATATATAAACTATAAGACATAATTGTGCTAAGTTGTTTCAACCTGTCCTCAAAAATTAGATGTAATTGAGCTTTATATCTTAAGTCAGCTTATAACATATAATATTTTGAATATTTTGGCTATATTAGCTTTGTAAAAGCAGTTAGAGCAGAAAAAAATAGGTCAGTAAACGTGACCTTAATTTAAAACCTTCCCATGAAGATAGGGCTAGAAGTACTTTTGCCAAATAACATTGTTTTCATTCACTTTATGTCAGTATTTAGAAAGGAAAAAAAAACTATAGTAAGTATGATTTATAAAGGATACTGTTTTGTTATAATACTGTAAAAAAAAAGTCTTGTTTTTGAAAAAACATTGGTGATGCATATCATGAGAGGTGTATTTTCTATGCATTCAGATTAAAGGTTACTTTTCATCTTGTCAATCATTGCCATGTAGAGTCTTCAGCAGTAACGTATTAAAAAGAAAAAAAAGTTAAAAAGCAAAAAGTAATGAATTTTGCCAGGCACCTGGGGGCCTGTCACTGTGGAGAGTCTGTGACACTCACCAGGCCCATCAGCCCCCACGGCTCTCAGCCAGCCGTGGGACACTCCAGCGGGACACCGCGGGGGTAAGCTCAGAGTCTGCATTCACCAGTGTTTTATCTATTTTTAACTTAAACTCCAGCTTCAGAGGCAGATTTTTCCCTCCACCTCGGAGCTCAGAAGAGGCCCCATATCCGTGTCCCCCAAAGACCCTTCTGGCCACGAAGGCAGGAGCCCCTTGAGGCCCCGTGCACTGTGCTTTCCCTGCCTCTGTGTGAGACCGTGCATGGGAGGGGAAGGGATCAGACAATTGGCTTTTGTCAGGCTCCAGGAGGAATGTGGCCTCCTCTTCCCCAAAACCTGTTTACCTTGTGGCCGCACCAGCGGGTCCCCAATGAATTCTCCATCCTGTGGCTCCCTCCTCCTGCCCCATCCTGGAGTGGGGAACAAGCATGCTCGTGCTGTGGGTAGATTTCTGCTACTTGCATTCTGGAGCACCTGGAGGAGTCCAGGAATGGACTTTTTAAGTTAGTAACTGAAGTTTGGAAATCTTGCATGATTTCACAGATGCCGAGACACAACTCCTGTTAAGAGCCATTATTTTAAAGGGGCCATTGGAGAGGAAAGTGGCAATAAAAGACTTGAGAAAGTTTTATTGGAAAATATAGGGAAAACTTTATTTTTCCCATCAATAAATACTAATAGGAGCGGATAAGAAAGGGAAGTGTTCTGGAAAACGACCCTTGAAATTGGACCTAACTCTGGCTCTCGCCATTAACAGCTGCCCTGGGCTTTTGCATAGACTTCCACCGTACAATTTGGTATTTTTGTTAGAACAGCTCTCTGGATTTTGTCACAAGGCAGCCTGAGTCTGTTTTTATGATGATCTGCAGACGTTTGATAACGATAGGACTCTAGCTTTGGTTCTTCTCACGGTGATCACATTGTAATGAGTACTTCCTGTTGTAATCCTTCCGTCGGAAACCCATGCCACTGGATGTTTTCAGTTCTGGTTCATGTTTGTTTCTTACATTTGTGAGATTTGGCTTGCATTGGGAATAGGCTTACTTGGTGGATTTGGAACATAAAGGCCATAGTCAATTTTCTACCAGTTATCTTGCGAGGTCAGCCAAGCCAGTTAGGTAATCCCTTCCTCAAGGCGAGGGGATAATTATGGTGAATTTCTGAAACCAATGTCACAGAACCTTTTTTGATCAGGCCAAGATCGAGAGGAAATTCTCATTGACCTTTCCTCTGCTCCCTTTTTTTCTATTATGTTTAACAACAATTGTGAAAAATAAAACTGTGAAGAAATTAGTGATAATGCTTTTAGATTATCCACTTAAAAAGTTATGTATTTTCATGTCACTCAGGTAAAGTTGGAAATGACAGAGCACAGACATCTATTTTTTAAATTAATAGGGGAAAAATAGAAAAGTACTTCTGTTTATTTATATTGCCATATATGCATATATCTTAGCAAATCAGAAATAATATATTCATTTCTATGGCAACAAATAAATGCATTCATCCTAGTAGTAGTCAACACATTTTGCCAAATGGCACAAATATACCTCCATTTATATTTTATATCTTTAAAATGTAGTTTTAAAAATAGGACTATGTATAAGACACTTTTTTTACAAAAAGTGCCATATATACATATGTAACAGGGATGAGTGTGTGTTTAGCATAATTTATAACAATTTGTCAGTACAGCATATACTGAAAATTTTAAGTTATTTTCAACATATCCAAGTATGTTCAGGATAAATTAAGCCAGTTTCATAATGTAAATCATATTTTTGTTATTTGCCATATTTTATTTGAAGCAGTAATAGAATTTTATAACTCAAATTTGAATGTTACATTATAGCTAACCATGGCAAGCAAAGATTTGGTTTTTTTTTTACAGTACATTTCTTTAAAAATATACTTTCTATTTTTCTGTACTGACATTTGCAATAAATTGATACATTAAAAGTTTGATTAATGTCTTAAGATATTCAGTCTTTTTTATTTTCTATTCATCTAAGTTACATGATAGGACACTAATGATTCTTGAATGATTAAATAAAGTTCCTGAATTTGTACTGAAACTGATGAGTTTGCTGCAATACTGGTGTGGATAAAAACAGTAGAAGTTAGGCTTATATTCCATTCCCTCACATTATCCTCCCATATATATTTAATTTAGAATAAGAGACTTTGTGTATGAAACCCCTTGTGCGCGAATAGGCCCCAAAGTGTTTGATGAAATCAGTGACTCTGGGAGTGAATAAATTTGAACTGTTGACAGTCCTGCTGCCTTCGGGTCTTTAAGAGCGCTTTTTCGTGCAGTTCTCTTGGTTTTGTTCTTCTTTTCCCCCCATTAGTGTTGAGTTAATGGTTCGGGGTGATTAAACCGTGGTCTGATGCTCACTTGTCTTCACTCCCACCCTTGCTTTTTCGAACAAGAATCCTACCTGGGGTGGGTTTCGCCTCAGCCGCATGATGGAAATGTGTGCGATACTCGATACTCGAAGGCCCGTTCAAGCAGAGAGCGTCCTTCCTGCAGAAGTCGGAGGCACGTAAGGTCTCTGCTTCCGGGTTACCCGCACCCCAACTCCTAAGGAAGGCCGGATTTGGATCATTTCTATTTTTTAGAAGAAATTTTTGTGCTACATTCCAGTTTCACTCTAATTCTCACATTGCCTTGTATCCTAAAGAGCGTTACCCTTGCATCTGCTTAGACAAATTGAACTCCTAGTAGTGCCTTGGTTTCCTCCTGGTTCTGTCTCAGGGTTCACTCCTGGTGGACCCGGGACCACATGTGGCTCCTGGAATCAAGTCCTGGTTGACTGTGTAAACTAGTTTTGGAACACCTACAGTTGTAAGGCTGAAGTGAGTGTGTTAATCTTACCAAAACCCGAGAAGAAAGCTTCGAATAATAATTTGCTGGCCGTTGATTATAATCCAGGGCCTATTCCAGTAGTTCAGTGATACGGTCTAGGTGACTGAGAATGGACCAGGCTTTAAAACCTTCGCCTCCACCTGTAACTCTAGGGTGACTGCTCTTTGCCTCGCTTATTCAGCCGAGAAGATTGATTCATCTAGGAGTAGATTTGAGGTGTTGAAAAGACAGCACTCACAAAGAATTGGTCTGATTGATTACTGTCCAGGCTGGAAGGAGGGTTGCTTTAGAAACATCCTGTCATGGGCTGTTCCAGTAAGACAACTTCCCCCTGCCTTTCTCCTGCCGGGCCAGTCTTTGGAACAGTTTTCAATAGCCACTAGATGGATCGGATGCTTGCTGTGCCCCACGGGCTGTTTGGATCTTTTTGGCGCTGACCCTGATGGCTCAGTAGCCTGCCAGCTCCTTGCCAACTCCATGGCCGTTCCTCAGTTCCCATCCTTTCTCCGCCTCGCCAGGGCCTGGAGTGTGTCTCAGTACTGTCCTCCCCGAGAACCAAACACGACTGCCCTGACACCCAGACAGCCCAGGCCTGGCTATGCACGGGTCTGCTCAGGGGTCACCCGGGGACTCTCCGGGACCCTCGATGGTGTATGGGGTCGCACTTGTGTCCCCGCAGGTGAGATGAGCCCCTTCCCCACTGTGTCCTTACTCTGGATGGCCAAGGCCCCTCGCTTCTGTGTCTGCCCTGTGCCGGGCGCTTCCAGTCAGGGCCAGCGTCCTCTCACCTGCTGGCCCCGAGCCAGCTCCCCACCCAAGGCCGCTGTGGCAACCACGTTCCGTTTCTCAGAACTGCCAACTCACTGGTTGCACTGTGCATTTTGAAACCTGCTTCTATTCGGGTCAGGTCTTGATGACACAGTCACACGTTCCCTTGCTACCTCTTGCTCTTGCGGTAGCCCTAGACCTGGCGGACTAGGGTTCTTTTCTGCCGAGGATTATTCTCCTCTGTCTCCCACGGTATCTGCCGCAGCGCCCAGCACCTCTTTGTACTCAGTGTATTTGGAATGTGTTCATCAATTATGAAGTGATCCCGGAATATTTGCCAAGGGAAAGATGCAGAAAGGCAATCCCTGGCCTGTTTTTATTCTTTAAAGTGTTAGGCCTAGAATAGTCACAGGCCTGGAGAGAAGCTAAAAGTACGTCAAGACATTGGTTGGGAGTGTCAGTCACAATCCGTGTGATTGAATCGTTGGCGGGTGCAGCGGGCGCAGAAACAGTTCTGTAGAGTGTTGCCCCGCACAGTACCAGCCAAAGCTGAGCAGAGGTCAGGGGCATAGGTGAGCAGGTCTTGAGCAAAAGACAAGCCGGTAGCCTGGGGTGGGGTTTCTCAGACGGGTCCTCTTTGCAGAAGTAGCAGAGGAGAGACCAGGAGGGGGCAGTGCTGGGCAGAGGACCCCATGCTCCAGACTGTTTCTCCCACTGGACATTCCCTTTGGTGCCTACAGTTTCCCCTTGGAAACTTGATGATGATCCTTACCTAAACCAGTGAGGAGATGGAGCCACCTGGCATTTCTGTGACCTCTGTCCCCTGGGCATGTCCCCAAGGGGAGCCCAGGCTCCTTCAGAGAGGCGAGGTGTCTCCGAGCTGGGACGGGAGCCCAGAGGAGCAGGAACACCAAGGCTGGAAGGGAGTCTGAGATGAATGAGGATTTGTCCCCTCGTCCCCCGACTGCTTGGACTGTTTCCCTACTACTGTGGGCGTCCTACATGAAGGCTTTTACACCTCGATTATACAGCAGTCTCAAGTGGCCGGTGTGCAGACACCAAGTAACCAAATACAGATTTATCAGCTAGATTCAATTTTGCCCAAGTGCATGCAGCGGTCTTTGCTTGATGTAACATCAAATTTAGCAACAGTGCTTTAATCAAATGGGGGGGGGGGGGGGGAGGATGCACAAAGTGTATGCTCAAAGAGAAAAAAAAACCCAGTATTATAAAGGGGTGTACACTGGGAGTGAATAGCTTTGAGCTGAGGGACCCCTTGGACACATCTGGAACTCAGCAAATATTGAATGAATGAGCTCAGCCTGGCATGGTGTGGATGGGAATTGCATCCTCTGTGGGAGCAGAAGGCATAAGACTCTCTCTGTTTCACCTGCAAAGCTTGTGAAAGTGGCAGGAGGCAGTTCCGAGGGGCCTGAGCCACAACGATGATGGACACAGTCACTCGGAAAACCATCAAATGCAACCAAACAGCAGTTCACGGGGCACTTGTTTACCAACGCGCTGTTCACTGGAGTCTAGCTGAGGAGGTACACTGCTCTTCCTCTTCTTCTCTTTTTCTCTCCATTAAATGAAAAGGCAGGCTAGAAGTGCCTAAGAAGGGAATTTCCTCATTTTTGTTTACTCTGATAGAATTGTGGACTGTAGTTGCATTAGTTCTAATAGAACTGTCGGTGAAGATCAGTTTTTCTCAGTTCTGTCTCATTTGGGAGGGTATACTGCATAACTTGTTTTCTGTTTTTTTTTAAGGGACAGATGTTCTGAAATACTCCCTTTCTAGTCCTGTAATTTATTTCTTTTGGAACAGTTCTTCCTTAGAATCTAAAACTTAGAATCCTATGATACTCTCTAATACTGTCATATATATATATAAAATTTTTATTAGTGAGACACCATGAGGTACAGTTCTGGACTTACAAATTTTTCTGCTTGGGTTTCAACTATACAATGATCAAATACCCATCCCTCCACCAATGGGCTCTAATACTCTCTTATGTTAGTAAAACTAGAAGAAAGGGAGAGGGCCAGTCTGCCTGGGCAATAGTTGGAAGGAAGGACATTTGGCCAAACATGTCCCTGGCCCCCGGGCCCCTGGGATACAGAGCAGAGCCATGCAGGATGAACGAGGGTCCCGGCCCTTAGCAGGGGCAGCCCAAGCCCCCGGTGTGCACAGGGAGAACCCCAAACCCCTCCCTGCAGATGAAAGGCATGTGGGTGGGCTTTCCCTACCTGCACACTCCCACCTTCCCCTGAGGATGCCTCTCAGCCTGGCCCCTCCTCTGCTCCCCACCCGCTTAGTACATTCTTGATCGAAATAATCACATGTAGGTGACACAGCTTAGCGATGAAGGTGGAGTGATCATAAAAGAATGTCGAACAGAGCATTTGGACGTCACTTCTTCCCAAGCTGGTGTCCCTGAGGCCGAATCCTCAGCGCATGTTTGCTTGGCACATTCTCCCCTGCACACACTTAGAACACAGCAGGTAAGACCAGGAAACCGCTCAGGCCCATCGTGTCATCTGCTTCTTAGACCCCATTTGTATTTCACCCGTCAGTCTAGCCATCACAGAAAGCAAATGATCATGTGTGAAGAAATCCTCAAGATGCTTTAGAACACCGCCCAAGCGAGGGCAGAGGGCTGTGCTCTGAGACCAGATTGACTTGGTTGATTTTCAGTCTCAACAGCAAATGGGACAAAGCTCAAAGGTCGTGTGCGACGCGGGTTTGATCCCCAGCACCGTAAGACCACCCCTGCACGACCTTCGTGGCCTTGGTGCTTCTGGTGGACTGACCCATCAGCCCCATCACCAGGCCTCGCAGTGGCCCCTATAAAGAAATCTAGAAGTCAATCAATGGAATGCTGGGTCATGGCGACAGCACCAAAGACTGCTCGCTTTTCCCACAGATGTTCTCACCAGTTCTGGAGGCAGGAAGGCCGGGGTCTGGACCCCTGCGGCTGCAGACAGCTCCTGCCCACCGGCCCTTTCCCCCAAGACCCTAGAGACCTCGCTCTCATATGGATGCCGCGCTGTCAGTCAGGGACCTAATGCAGGGCCACATTTACCTCCAGAGACCTCATGTCTGAATACATGGGGGCTGGGATTTCAGCTTGTGAACTTCGTGGGGCACTCAGCTCACTCCATAAAACCATGTGAGGAAAGTATCACGTTAAGCGAAATGACTCAGAGAGAAAGGGATAGACATAGAAAGATTGCATTCATCTGGGGAACATAAAGTAACAAAATAGGAGACTAACACCCAAGAATGGCCGAGATTAGTACCAGGAGGTTTACTCCATAGCTTGGAGGCTAGCCACACATGCTAGGGGAAAAGGGAGCTCAGATAGAGAAGGGAGCACCAAATAAAGGGTGTTGGGAGGATCCTCCCAGGATGGGAGAAGCATGCTGAAAGTAGACTATAGATCAAACATGATTGTCACCCATTGCCTCTTTTGCAAACCACAACACCCAATAAGCAAGCACAAAAATTTGTAAGTCTACAACTGTACCTCATGATGTCTCACTAATTAAAAAAAAATAAAAATTAAAAAAAAACATGTGAGTGGAAGAAAGTATTCAGTGTCATTCAACATATTGTCATAATAAAAACCACACAGCCACA